CGCGCCGCCCCGCCGGCTCTCCCGGGCTGGCACCCCCAGAGCTGCTCTAGGCTTCCTTAACGTCACCCTCGTTTTCCCTCGTGTGCTTGAGGCAGCGCTGCACGGAGCGGAGTGGAGCGGGGTGCTAAGCGGGCCCGGGGCTTCCCGTGCTGTCAGAAACATGCGGGACAACCGAGAGCGGGCGCCTGGAAAGGCCGAGAGCCCCCGCCCCGTGTCATGCTTGGGCTCTACAAGGGGTATCAGAGTCGCAGACAGGGGGGAAGTGGAAGGGAGGGACCTCAGCAGGTCACTGAGTCCAACCCCCAGCTCGGAGCAGGACCAGCCCCATCTAGATCATCCCAGCCCCTACCCACGTCTTAAAAAGGTCCAAGGATGGACATTTCCACCACCTCTCTGGGTAACCTGTTGCAGTGCTTCACTGCCCTCCTCCTGGGAGAGTTTTTCCTAATATCTAACCTAAACTACCCTTGCTGTAACTTGAGATCATCGCTCCTTGTTCTGCCATCCCCCAGCCCAGTGGCAACACATAGTGGGTGCACATGCACCCTGAGAGTGCTGGTGTACCCCCTAACAGGCTTGGGTGATGGGCAGTGGGGGCAGGCAGGAGCACTGGTGCCGGCTGGGGGGTGGGAGCACTGGATGAAGTGCCGTGGCCACTTCTTGGCCAGTGCGAGTGGCTGCAGGGAACCCCAGTCAGCGAGATTCCCTCTCTGGTTGCTGACTGGCCCCCGCCCCCCCCCCCAAGTGGCACCAGTTGCCCATGCACCAGCTCTGCATCTTACCAGCCTTCACAATCCCCTGGTCTATTTTTTCTGCCTGTTCATCAGAAAAAGTATCTGAGGTGGACACCAGCTTAGCTGTGCACATAAACAATTTAGCAATGTACTTAATGGACACCTGGGAGGAGAGTGGGCCATGAACATGCTGCCCTCAGTCAGCTCTTTCTTCACGGCAGAGCAGATGGTAAATGACTGCCAGCTCACCCCACAGTCGGGAAGACGGTTAGTCCCTAGTGCAGTGATTCTCAGCCAGGGTGCTTCTGTCTTCTGTCTTAGTGTAGGAATCACCAAGTGAAACTACCTGTGGCATCAACCATTAAGCATCCCCTGAAATGTTATCTTTTAAATAGACAAAAACAGAATTCTCAAGAGCTCCCTAAGCTGTGTTCAAGAGAAACCAAGTCATATATTGCAAAAAGCAAGGTGTGAGAATTTTCAAGATAGCCTGAAATCCTCATGGCTCATAACATCCTGTAATAACCATTTTAGTGTAGTAGCAGATTCAGAAAATCTTTTTATCTTATTTCAAAATTTCACCCAGCAATTATGATAGCACAGTTACCCTAAAATTGCAGTTTAAATGAAAAATACATTCAGCAATGACTGATCTCTAAGAAACTACACTCAGAAGCCATGCAACTTGGTTTTAACATGCATTGCTATTTTTGGTGAAGCAGTATGAGCAGCTGGATGGAAGGAATGTATGGCAGGAAGTGAAGGAATGCATGACAGAAGGCTCAAATCTCTTGGACTTAGCTTTAACTTTTGTCCTCCCTAACAAGAGGTGAATGACTAGTGCAACACACATAATAGAGAGCTCAGAGCTATAAGCCCTTAAGCCACTTTTAAGATCAGCACTGGCCTTCCAGAATAGAACATACACATTTCCAAACAGATGGGAGTGGCAAATCCTTCAAAAGCTGTGTTTTGAAAGTGTGAAAAATAAACTGGTAAAAGCTTACTTTTCTTCAGGTTATCTGAGTGACATTGGATCAGCACGTAATTTGGACAGGTGAAAATCAGAACAGTGCAGAGGGCATGCAAATGCAGATGCTTTTACTGTATTATACTCTTGCATAAATTGGGCTATAAAAAGGATTCCTTTTTAAAGAGGCCATTTTTAAGCATCTGAAATGGACATCTGTTCATAAATAGAAGCATTATTAATAGCTATTTGCTTCTACTGGGCTAGAGTGGATTATGACCAAGAGGAAGGACAAGATGCATCCAAAAGGTGAGAAGCTGAAATTACCAGCAATTGCTATTCTTTTAATAGGGCACTGGTATGATGGTCTTCTTTCTGCCTTAGGCCAGAAGCACAAATCAGTTGTGCAGCATATTATCAGTATCTACAATTCATATTTACTGATATATTGGGACAGGATGGCCATAAATGCCACAAGTGGCATGGGCAGCCTGTGTGGGGTATGCAGCATATTGGAGAATAGGCACACAGCACAGCAGCAGAGCATTAGATTAGGCAGGAAACACAAGGCAGGGAGCAGAAAGAACAGCAGATTGAGTAGGGAAAAGAGAATGGCACTCAAGGGTGAGTGGGGCTTAGTTCGTGGCACACCTGCCAAAAAGTGTGGTCCCCACTGTGTTAGGATACTCCCCCAGGCAGAAGAACCAAGAGCCTAAGGCCTTGGTCCTACAAAAACCTTTGCGTGAAGTACTTCCGTGATTTGATTTCATTTACGTTTGTAACATTTCCAGGATCAGGTTCTTAATTTCCCCCTGCTTGCAGACTCTTAATTCTGCTCTTGTTAATTATTTCTACTTTGGTTAACCTGTTATAGAATAGTTCATTATAGAGTTAATGGTATCATCAGTCAGTTTTTACTAAGCAGCAATAAATTAAAATATAAAAAAATCATTTTACACATGTATTATAAATGTACAACTTCCGGTGTAATTTGTGGTGTTAATAGCATCATCCAATGCATAGCTGGCCTTAGGAGAAATGGCGCCCTGGCCCAACTTGAATTTTGGCACACCCTCATTTCCCCTGCCTTTTCCACCCACCCCACAAGTCTGTGCCGGTGCCCAGTGTAAGCAGGGGCATAGGCAAAGTCTGGCAGGGACGCAGAGCAGTATGGTGTACCAGGCAGGCAGGCAAACTAGAGCAGTGTGCCTGGCCCATGTCGCCCACCCCTACGGCTCACTCTGATCCTATGCTTCTAATTTCTAAAAGATAAAAACAAAAACCTACAAAACTTGTTTGTGGACAAAAGTAGTCTGTACTGTACAGTAATACATTTATAAAACACTCTCCCCCCTGGCTCAGTAAAGGCAACCCACTTAAAAAAATGCTCCAGAACTGTTACTTATATCATTCCCCATGGTTTGAATTTTAGAGTAAACAATGGTCATAAAAATCAGAATGTCTCTAATAAAAAAAAAAGAGAGGTATCAGAGACAATTTCTTTTTAACCCTATATGACCAGACCATACAAACACATGAAACAAAATAGATTTTTTTAATTCTTGTAACTGATACACTACAATGATGCAACTTTTTGTACAAAATTGTTACTGCAACATGTAATGCTTAAGAATTATGCATAAAACAGCACGATTACATTTGTAATAGGTTTTTTTCCCCCTAATCCTCATTCAAATCCCCGCATACAAAGATATATTCTTGCAATCTTGACCTTGGGATCATTGAGGTAAAATATAAGATGTAATCTGTGAAGATACTGCTTCTCAGAATTATGTTTGAAAGTCTGAGCATATCCATGTTGCAGGGACCCACTGGGGCTCATCTTGTGCACGACAGACTGCAGACAGCAACTGTACACAGGCCTCTTGTAAGCTGTCATTCACAACCACTTCATCAAAAAACTGGCCAAACTGAGCTTCCATTTTCTTAGCTGAATCTTCCATCTCCTCTAAATCCTCCTCCTGTAAGAGGCAGTACATACTGATAAAGTACCACTAATAGAGCAGTGCCCTCACCTGTGGCTCCTGAGCAACACTGTGCCTGTGAGAGACTGCTCTCATCTACAGGAAATTTTGCTTTCTACAGCAACATGTTCCTGCAGGTTGACAGAGCAAAGTGAGCTGCTGCCTGTAACACATTACTTGCTTAGTTTTATTGCTCATGTACCTGTTGGCAACCCCTAACATGACACATTTGGATGTTAAACACCCACATTCTCTCCTGTACCATACACCCCCAAATAAGACACTTACCTTGTTTTGGGGAAGGTGGAATGAACAACAACAAAAAAGATTTTCCAGGCATTATGGCCGCATAGAGCAGGAATAGAGCCTAATCTTGAGCTTACTCTCCCTTTCCTGCTTAGACAAAAGCAAGTTTTATCCCTTTCACAGCTCAGGTGTTTGCAGCTCTTAGCTGCTCAGACTAAAGCTGAAATGGCAACCGATGATGACTAGACAACATGGGTAGATCTAGGATTTTGAAAAGAGCTCAAAAGAGTACAGGGCTGTGAAATAGGAGAGATGAAGAGTAGCCAACATATAACAAAATTGCTGAAGAAAGGATAGCTTGATTGTGAACATCAAGATCATTAAAAAGGAGATAGAGAGAGAGTTAATACACATGTACTGAAGAGTAACCATGTAGGTTATGAGTCATGACTTCAATCGAATTCATCAGCACTGCTTAAATAGAAATGCAACTGCTGCTGCTAGGCAGGTTGCTTCCAATTTTGGGTGGAACAGGAATCACAGCGGAGTGTGACCGCACCCACACACTCTCTGTGGATCTGCCCCTGCTAGACTCTTCCCCTCTGTCCATACAGATGTTGCAAGGAAGAGAAGGAAAAGCAGCAGCAGCTGCCATATTACAGAATCTCCACGCTGCCATTCTGGGCAGAAATTCATCTCTCCTTGCTTAAGATGCTCAGCAATTTTGGAAGACTGATTTCTGGGGGCAAGATGAGTGTATATGTGAGTAAATATGGTAGGTTTATCATAGGTTTCCTTATCTATAATTTTTAAAATGGAAGAGCAAGTTCATGGTTGGAAGATAGCAACGAGTAGCCATGAGATCTGGTTTCAGTTCTTTACTTTGCCACTGACTTGGTCAAATCATTTACAGGTGGGGAGCTGAGGCACATACAAAGCAAAATGAGGATACTACTTTTCTAACACAGATGTAAGTGGGGGGAAGGTTAAATCAGTAATGTCTGTACTACACTTTGAAATACTCAAAGAAAATGTGGCATAAAAATACAAAGTAGTCCTAGGCACTGAATATGTGGGGCCCCCCCTTGGGAAGAGGCCAGGATAACCACCCATCCCTAACTGAAGACTAACAAACCCAGGTTGCTGTAAGGGGCTGTGGGGAGTGGGAGTAGGGGGTGCCACATGCATGTGTGCTTGAACACACATGCATGGGGCCAGAAATATGCCCAAGGCAGCAGCAGAGACCAGCTCACCAACTGTCTGAAGGTAAATTTATGAGGTTCAGGGTGGCAGATCGAGGCCCCCATAGTGGGAGAGAGAGCGGTGCAGGGACTCGGCCTGGGGGCATTGCCCAGCCAGTGCATGAGGGCTGGGGCAGGGAGGGGGACAGAGCCATGGGCAGCTTGTCCAGGGGGTAGCGGGGGGGGGGTTTCTCCCTGCCACTGCATGCACTCCTGGAGAGGGGTGCATGGGGGACATATACCCCGCCAGGTTTGTGTGCAGGGAAGGGGTGGATATGGGCTGCCTGCTGGGGGCCTTGGGTACCCTGCCATCCTCTCCCAGGAGCCCCACACCACCATGGCGAGGCACCCCTACCCACCTGGCTGCAGTGGAGGTGGGGGCAGTGATTCATAGATTGTAGAGTCGGAAGGGACCACAATGGATCATCATGTCCGACCCCCTGCCCCTGCCAGGAAAGAGGACCGAGGTCAGATGACCCCAGCCAGGTGACTATCTAGCCTCCTCTTGAAGACCTCCAAGCTAGGTGATAGCACCA